AATTTCACTAGACTCACGAGCTACTGAAATTTTATTCACCTCATAGTTGTCAAAAATTTACTCGTCGCGAACTTTGTTATCGATTCACACACGCTCTACATAATAAAACACAGATATTCTGTTAAAAATTATGTCAAAATGCTGCAGCTACTTAAGTGTCGGCTTTATTTTGACTATGAATACGCCACATTGTTATTTAGGCAATATCATACATATACATATATAATAGCAATTATTATTTTTTTCTTATCGGGAAATGTATTTTATTTCGGAAGTTTAATGAGTGTATATAATCGGTATTGGGTTCCCAAAAGAAAGTATTGGGTACCGAAATCTTCCTGAAGTATTGGGTACCGGCAATTCAGCACATCACTAAGGGATGAAGAATTGCACTCTCAGTATATCCAGTAAAAAAACTGTGGTGAAGTCCTTTATGGGGATAAAGTTTCCAGAGGTGAAATTTTAGGTAGTACACAATTTCTTACACGCATGGTTGCTTTTCAGCACTCTTGAAAGAATCTTAAGAAATGTTTGAAAAAAATGTTCATATAGTACATAAATTTTTGAAATAAATACCATATAATGTATGTACACTGGTTAATAATATCAAAAAATGTATTAGAACCACCATTTAATGTTATATTTGATACAAATTAATATTGCTGCCCCGAACGCTCTGCGCATTGCCACTGAATAATAGATGTACTTCAAATTACATCCCTGGTCCTTGTTCTTTCTGTATCGCATCGTGGTGAATTCACATTTCTTAGAAATTTGACAACAAAACAAAACAAAGGGAGTATTTTATTTACTAATTTTTGCGATTTCTATTGTTTAATGTAAATGTATGTCTTTTTAGGATATGTTGAGCCAACAAAGAAGGCGCTTTTGGAAAATGGAGTTATTAGTATTTATGGAAAATTATACCTATGAGCAGGCTGGAATTTGGGAAAGTAAGTGCCTGCTTGCAGCATATCTATGTATTAAAAAGTATTTAATTAAATTGTTTAATAGAAATGTTATAAATCGAGTGGCTCATTTACGATGTGCTCCAAACATTTGGCGAACTTTTTTTCGCCTTTTCAACGTGCTAAGTAACAAGGAAAGGGCAGACAATCTTCCAGGAAGCTGCCTCCTGTCCCCGAGTCGAAGCAGAAGTTCAGCAAGAAGCAGGTCAGCAAACTGCTACCCTGATCAAACGTAAACTAAAGCGCTCTGCTGTGATTGCACTCTGCAAACGTGAAAACTTCGTGCATGCTGAGAAATATCAAACAAGAAAACTCTGTGATGGACGCCGTGGGATGAAGTTGCGCTGTGTGGCAAAGAAATGCCGCCAATTCTACGGGCCTGAAAAATCCAAATTGGCTTTTGTGATCCGTATCCGCGGTATCAACAAAGTTGCACCAAAAGTGCGTAAAGTGAAGTGAATTGATGTACAAACGTGGAATTGTCAAGCACAACCATCAACGTGTCTCAATCTCTGACAGCTTTGTGATCGAACGCAAATTTCGCAAAGCGCACGAAATTCAGTGCGTAGATTATTTGGCGCACGAAATATTTACTGTTGGTACCGACTTCAAGAAAGCCTCCAACTTCCTTTTGCTATTCAAGCTCAACACATCAATCCTAGGCTGGCGCAAGAAGGCTAATCACTACGTTGAGGTTGGTGATTTCGGTAGCCGTGAAGATAAGATTAACAAATTATTTATGAGTTTAATAAAATTTTATCGTATACGACATTTGTCAAAAAATTTGCAGTCATTTTTAATGATATACGCCAAAATGTGATACAAATTTTTATAAATTAACATACTTTTTACTAATCAGCCTAATCGTGAGTTTCGCCCGAACAAAATTTCGCCAACAATTTTTTCATCCACCTGTAGTGAATACACGCAAACGAAAAGTGAAAAAGTGACCCGGTTCTAGAAAATGAAACTCATGATAACGCTGAATATGTCCGAAACTAAAGAAGAACAGATAACTCTATTTGAAAGATCTTGATTAGTTTAGTACGACAGCAATACTAACGCAATTTGTACCAAATATCCGAAAACATTTTGGTCAATTACTCGGAAACTAAAGAAGATATCCAAAAACCACACAATGTCAATTTGACACTTCCGGCAATTTTCCATCCAAGCGACGATATTTGAATAGGTTTGTATAGTTACCAATAGTCAGTACTAATTTGTACTGGAACCTGCAAATTTTTTCTAGAAAAGTGTATGATAACCCAAAATATTTGCAAGAGAGCACTGAATCGAGAGCGTAACACCACGAGAGCTGCAAATTCTTGCTAGTGAAATTTTTACTAGCAGAAATTAGCTAGCAGAAGAAGAAGAAGAATAAATGTCAAAAGCCCCCATTTTTTGAATTGGTTTAGCACAAACCAAGGCGAATTTATATAAGGTGGTGTTACTTGCTCAGCTGATTTTGTGTATGTGTTTCGCCGCACGGCTTCTGATATCAAATTGAAAAATTTTGCTTGAATTTCTACACACACTTACAGATTTTGACAGTTTATGCCGCCAAAGCAAAAAAAAAAAATACATTTAAATTTTTGTTTTTGTACTCCTGCAATCACCTTATATTGATTCGCCTTGGCACAAACAAAAGTAAAATGAGTGGAAATAAAAATATTAATGATGTACTGGACAGTGTAAGTGCTTGTGTGTAAAGCAAAGAGTTTAAAACTGATTTATAAATAGTAAAATGTTTACAGCAGATTGTCAAAGCAGTGCAACAACTGTTCACTTGCAAGTTTTTGCTAGTTTAAGTTCTTCTGCTAGTTTTCTCTTCTTCTCATTTTAACGCTCTATTTTGCTTTTACGCTCTCGCTGCAATGTTACTGTTACTATACAAACCTAATGTTACTCGCATATTTTCGAGCCTGTATGTAAATTTTCGGGAAAAAGGTTAATAAGTATATTCATCTGCTGAAAAGATATTTTCGCAGATTCACAATTTATTTAAAATAAATCTATTAGCCCAATCTCCAATTCCATGTGAATAAATCTCCCCAGTGCTTAAATAATTTTCACCACATTAAATAGCTGCACAACACCCTAATTGCCGAAAAAACGTTGCTTGCAACACTAGTCCTTTATGGGGACCAAACTTGGCGAGAAAAAAATAGCTAAGTTTGTTTACTGGATATACTGAGCTTTGAAATTTCATCATGAATAGACTTACTAACGAGCAACGCTTGCAAATCATTGAATTTTATTACCAAAATCAGTGTTCGGTTCGAAATGTGTTTCGCGCTTTACGTCCGATTTATGGTCTACATAATCGACCAAGTGAGCAAACAATTAATGCGATTGTGACCAAGTTTCGCACTCAGTTTACTTTATTGGACATTAAACCAACCACACGAATGCGTACAGTGCGTACAGAAGAGAATATTGCGTCTGTTTCTGAGAGTGTTGCTGAAGACCGTGAAATGTCGATTTTACGCAAAGATCTTGGTGTAAAACCGTATAAAATACAGCTCGTGCAAGAACTGAAGCCGAACGATCTGCCACAACGTCGAATTTTCAGTGAATGGGCCCTAGAAAAGTTGGCAGAAAATC